AGTCTTTTTGTTTCAGGGCCAAAAACAGAAAATCGTGTGAAGGAGTAATTGCCTTTTCAATTATTGATCAAAATGCTTTCACGGCAAATTAAACTTTCAAGGGGCGTGTTTATCTTAGGAAGTGTTTCATAAAGGAGATAGGTGGGACTTCGCCTTATAGCTGCCTTATCTGATTGAATGTTCTATTGTTGCCATATTTAAAATAATCAATAATATTTTGTAGAACTTTAATGCGTTGTTTTATTTCATTTAGTAGACGATATTGATTTAAAATGAGATCAGGATGTCCAGAAACAAAATAAACATCAAACATTTCTGAGAAACCAGAACAAGCAAATTAGGCTCAATATTCACACTTGAAACGAATGTACAGACCGATTGGCTTCATCCGCCTCCCAGTGGCAGTGATGGAGGACATTTTAATGCTTAATTAGTCCTCAGCCGAGAATGTCGTCCCATATTATTTACCCGCACGCTTGTTTCCACGACAAGCCGGTATGTAAGATTTTACTCGTACAAAAACAAACACTGCATGTTTCTGTTATTTTACGCAACCATAATCAGATTAAAGAACGAAACTAGATATACAAAAAATAGTTACGAAATATGAAGGATGAAAATTTATGGATGTCAAATTCTGTAATATGAGGGATGTTTCGGAGTGCATTCTTACTCGTTCATCAGGTGGAATATACTCCGAAACATCGTGCCCATAACTCCATGAAGGTTCATCCTCATGTGTATCACTACTAAATACCATTTATTGACATTCTATCGCAATACTGAAATATGGAAGCTTCTCTACTTATTGGATATTTTATGTCTATATATATATGACAAACCTCCCTCTGTTGCCGGTTTAGAACCTGGTGTTGTACAGGAGTGTGACTTAATTAAGTGAAAAGGATAATTTGTTTTAACCTCAGTTGCAAGTTCGTGACATTTTTATGTCTGTGGACTTGTACCCAAATCTCCTCAGAAAATTAGCCTGAATCAAATACTTTCCTGTTCAGATTTTTAAAGAGTGCTTCATGAAAACATAAACATATACATGAGATGTGACATTTCACATGAATATTACGATCCCATACCAAGTCAGGTCTCCGATAATAGCATTTATAACCTAACTTACCTAACTAACTTATAACCTGTGCAAAATAATTTTTTCTGGTTCCGATTACCCTGTGGAATAATCTGCTTGAGGAAGTAACTAATGCCCGCTCATTGAAATAATTGAAATCTTTAATTTATCATTCTGATATATTTAATAATATCCAAGATTTAGAAGATAGTTTTCGATTCGGCCACATTGTCCACTACCACCCTCTTGGGTGTGCAGCAGCGACTTAAACCGAACCAGGTTTAGGCACCATGTGTCAGACATACCAGATGGCACTTGCGGGTATCAGTTTGAGGACGCAACTCATTTTTTCCTTCATTTGTCAAAACTACGACAATATCAGAAAGACAATGCATTTCACATACCCGCGAATGACATAAAAACAGTGACAAGTTCTGCAACAGTTCAGGGAGTAGTTCTACAAACATGGACATCCTTCAGGCAGTTCACGACTTCATTGTCAAAAGCAAATGATGGGAGCCTTTTCAAGTGTATGCATATAGAAAGGGAAACTGCATAATGTTTCTATGTCACAGACACCGCTGACTTCAGTTTATTGGCTTCATGTATTTCATCTGTGCACTTCGTACAAAAGTCATCATGTTCAACACTACCTTGTAATGAATTCGTAACGTGTGATATTAGGAGGTGTTTACATGAGTTTGGCTTGTTTACCCAATCCAGATTGCTTCAGAAATATATATAAATACAACTGCAACTAGTTTTCGGTTTAAACATAGCATATATGATTACTCCAAAAACTCGGTGCAGCTATATTTGGCGTGGGTCCAACATTGACAGGAACTTCACATGTCCATATGCACAACTATCAGAGCACTTGTTGTTTTAAATTTGTCGTTCACAGGCCCAAAACGATCCCTACATGATTCGCGTTTTCCCTACTGTAATTACAAACAAACGATTCTGAATTTACATTATATACCCCGGTGTGTACTCGTACTTGTCATTCCACAGGGGAAGGTCTGCTGGTTTAGAGACATGAGTTTGGTTTAATGGCGCTTTGGACAACATTTCAGATATACGAGAAAAGGCAGAAAGGTTCTGGGCCGATGGACTGCGTTGATAGAGTTGGTTGCGGATATATTTCAACAATATCCCTTCCGCGGTCCAAACAATTCGGGCATCTGTAATCATATCCTGTATTATATATACCTTAGTGATCGCATTAAAATATGCTTTGTTGATCTTAAAACATTTCCCCCCTTTTTAACTCCAGTGTCAACCTTACAACAGAGTCAAATATATACGAGATGCCAACACCACCGAAATAGTATCGGGACGGCTTCAGTTTCAAGCTAAAATGTCTGTGAAAATGTTACGATGACAGGAGGTGTTCGCAAAAAGAGGGAGCATGTGAACACTCGCCACTCAAACAATTTGAATAAAGAAGTAAGTGTTTGTAGAGCCTGACGAGGCGGACTCCAGCCATATGACGTAAGTGGCTTCTGATAAAGCCAGGCCAGACACTAAAGTGATGGACCATGACAATGACTAAATAGCGCATTAACCGATGGGACAGAAAGAACATCATCCTCTTAATTTGATACCATGTCGACATGGATGACTGTTGGTCATAACCTTTTCAGTCGGATATACGTATACGTGACGACAGCCATATCCCTGTCGTCAAAGAATATACCTTATAACTTGGATTCATGCAGAAATCTGCTTCCAGGCTGTGTACTGGTGCAGACTGTATGTACAGTCAATTGTCTACATAATAAATGGAAACTGTTAAGGGTGGATTACACGTCCTTGTTAGTTTTTCTCATATGAAGCCCAGTCATCTTGCCCATAGTAAAGCAGGCCGGATTTTTGAATCCAAAACAAGGGTTTAACTTAAGCTTCAGATATATTGACGATCTGGTGACTTTCAATGAAGATCAAACAACCAATGACCTGCCACTTTAACTATCGTTTCATATTTACATATCTGCTTAAAGATTGAGATAAAAATACCAAAGAGGAATGGTTTCAGCTTTCAAACGGGCAACTTTCTCCAACATTACGTCGAACATGATTCTAGAAACTCCAGCTTTTTGTGTGTTTAGTGGACAATGTTCCATTCGACCAATATTGAAAGAGCCCCGTGTGGCCCTTGCTCCTCAAGATGTTTGATCAGAGTTTCAATATTGAACACCTCATATCCAAATTTGACTCATCACTGTCAAAACTCATGTCCTAATTCCTATGTTAGACTTGGGACCACAAGTCATCGTTTCATATGTTCATGTATTTATGTGAGATGAGTAATTATAACTTTCCATTGCTTATATTATTTTAGAATGGGTGCCACCTGTGGGGCGGGATACGCTCATCTTTCGGAGAACTTCTGTTATCATCACTATGTGACAGTAAGTCGTAAGCGCATGTTGCTGAGTTAGCGAAACCCTACAGTTGACTTGTTACCAGAGATTTCTCATTATGGAAAATGTTTTATATTCGTAAATTCCGATATGTCAAATATTGTCAGGGAGAGTCGAGATTGGAACTCACGATCATACGATTGTGACAAACCTTGGGAACCCTACTGCTTACCGTTAATCGAGACACAAGACAAGGGTCTGGTAGGACCTGTTACATTAATTTAAGGTAAACATATGTACAGAAGTTATATATGTATATATATACCTGCATTTAAATTCTTAATGCATTATGATTGTTACTATTTTGTGCATTGAAACACCAAATATATGACAAACAGATTTGTATTTAGATAAGAGGCCCTGAGGCCAATAGTACATTGTAAAATTATAACAGTGAATTATGCGCAACCTGCAAATTTTCGAATTATAGGGACATCAATAAATCAATAGATGCCCATTATCAATTTACATTTTTTCTCAACCTAAATATGTGATACAACACATGGGCTACCTTAAACTATAAGTCAACAATAAGTAGCATACGGTATTTATGTCTTCATGGCTGGTTGTAGAAAAATTAAGGCATATATTTTTATATAAATATCTAACTTCAATGTATACATATCATACCTTGAAAAAAAAGAATATATGTGAATACTGAAAGGCTTTTATCATTTTTTATCCTTACAAACATTTAACTTATAGGTGATACTTTCCATTCGCTGAGATACACTGCACGTTATCGTGTTATGCTGGGCTTCCTATTGATTGTATCTGTTATGCAGTACCAGAATGCTTCCTGCAATACTTGCACTTGTACAGGCTGTTTTGTCGTGTTGTCTATATTTCTCGACTGACGTTTTGATAATATTCCAGACACAATACTTTATATTACCTTATATAATTGACATTCGATACCGAGGACGGGGCATCTATATTTTTTACTTTTCAAATGTGAAAATATCATTACAAATTCTATGTCTAATAAATGGTGTAAAAACCATGTTATAATAATAAAAATGAACGCATCTCGATCAACTTGTATCACTGTACATCGCACCCTGGACATCATAAGTGTCCTATGTAAACTATTCATTATATTATTTTAAAACAGCAATCTTGAAAGACATGAATTAAATAAATAATAAAAAGAATTTTCATAAAATTGCGTTTGGTTATTTTCATTTAAAATTGTATTAAATCTATACTTTCACATTCTACCACATGGTCATGTTGTTTCGTAACCAGTTGTTATGGTTCGCTTTTATTATCGAATAGAACAAACATGTAAACCCATAACTATCGCTTTAATGTACCCTGTGCCAAACAACAAGTATCTATCTATTGTTATCGATTGTTAGAAAACAAAACCTTCAGTGATTGGTATCAGAGTCAATTAAAATTATCACATACCATCCCCGGTATTAAGTCTTCGTTAGTCCCGCTAAAGACACAACACCCGTCCCCAACCGTAACTGTACTCCCCGCACAGCTCACTCTATCTGGTGCTGGTCCTTATCGGGGAGGGACGGGCAAGAGTCAAAGCTGGCGAAAGGGGGCGTTCCAATCTCCCTATAATGGACGTTAAAGCCACAAGCATTGCTGTCATAGATAAAACTATCACAGAGGAAAAAACACAGGGATTGCAACGGTATTAGTCAGTGATTGGTGGTATCTGGCGTCCACTGAAGGAGCGATTTGCTCGATGGTTGAATTTACTTATGTCATTTGGTCCAGCTTGCAACGGCAACCTGTTTACGACAGGACCCTTTACTTAATACCTGTGTCAACATTCACTTCATGATGTGATACGACATTGGTGTCTAGATTGGTGCTTTCTCAAGGCTGAATATTCATACTGAAATGTCACTTTATACAGTACTCGTGTGAATGTAATAGAAAGATATAAACTGGATATAAATTAGTTATAAACTGGATATAGTTATAAACTGGATATATTTCTATATCTTTTTCTATAATTTTAGTGATCCCGGAAGTAATAACACAAGCGTGATTGGAAGATTTGAAAGAATGATGAACACCACGTGAACACTGTGTACATGACAAATGAACACCCTCTGAACACCATGAGTAAGAATTAACGCTTTTTAGGTGACAAATGAACACCTCTTTGAGAAAGAAGGTTCATGACCACAGTCTGAAAGATTAAGAACACCTTCTGAACACCGTGGAAAGATGATGAATACCTTGTGGAAGTATGGAAAGTTGAAGACAAGGCAGTACTTGAAACATCCACATATAACAACTGTTTTGTTGCACTCTTGATCATATACACATACATACATACACACACACACACGCACGCACGCACGCATACATACATACATACATACACACACATCTACATACATACATCTACATACATACATACATACACACATACATACATACATACATACATACATACATACATACATACATACATACATACATACATACATACATACACACACACATACATACATACATACATACATACATACATACATACATACATACATACATACATACATACATACATACATACATACATACATACATACATACATACATACATACATTTTGCACCAGTCTTGTAGGCAACATATACAGGTTGGCCAATACAGTAACAAGGCAGTGAGTGAAATGTCTGTCGTTAATACAATGTCATTAATACGATGAAAGCTTTGATCGTAAACTTCTGACAGACCAGGAACAACTTCCCTTTGTTGTCACTGTAGAAAGATACGATGATGTACAGACTAAAACAGGTCTACATCTTCACAGTTTCTGCCGCATTTTATGTAAGTATCATAAACTTGCGTCTTTCTGCCGTGGAGCAACATGTTTATGTTTCTGAAATATCTCATCCCAAACGTCATCATTTACACAAAACACCAAAACTACATACAAACTTGACCACAAGAGCTACCCTAGAATCTCGACTTGTTAGTTTGCACCTACTTCACCAACCCTTCCTAATTAACCTAATCTGCCGTATACAGATGTGTGTCTGGTGAGCCGCTGGTTTGTCAACAGCCAATCTTACCAGGGAAATACTCCATTCTTTATCTACGGACAAACCCTCTTTGTCAAGCTTAGATTACTACTGCCGGGTCTTTAAACAGCGTATTGGGTAAATTAGTTTAAATGACCCTGTTTATAGGTTTTATACTTGCCGTATATACAGGTAGCTGGCGTAATTCTAGTGATACCCCCATGTTATGTCTTGTCAAGGTTAAAGGTCAAATGCCATATCATAACTTGCTTTTGAAGCAACCGAATATTTATTGCAATGACTGTGTATGCGAAAACGGGTGACAGAGGTGTACTGAAGCAGAGGTGTTGTCGATGACTATTTTATCAGGAGGTACATGTCGTGTTTTCCTCTTGTACCAGGAACTGTGCATCGTCAATATCTTCTCAGCGATCCAAGCGTACCTCATTGCGCCATCTCATCAAAGGATGGCAGCAAATATAGTTTGTTGTGGAAATGGGCTGCGATCATCAGACAAATATCTGAAAGGGTCCCTCGTTGTTTCCTGACTTTATATACGCTATATATCTTTGTAAGACAATGACAGGGATATGCATGTCGATCTTGAAGAAGACCAGCGGAAGCGACAAGAACCCTGATTTTGTGATGTTTTGTTCTGATAATATGATAATATTCAGTCTGTTGATGAATAACATATGGCCCCTGGTCGATATACGTCATGACAACAGTTTTCAGTGCTGAAAGATTGTCTTTGATATCATGTGATTGATTCCATCAGAGATTTAAGATTGTATGTAATGTAGAAAGTTTCTCAACCTCGATAACCGCCAGAGTCGAGCAAATTCTAAAGATGTATTCGATATACAATACAATTCATATTTCGTTTATAACTCAGTCCCAGTCGTATTTTAAAGCAGCCTACACTTAACTTATCGTTTCTCTATTCACAACTATCAGTACTGGTCATTGGTTTCACTATGTGACAGTGACTGCTACGGTCTTGAAGCCCCTGCCAGGTATAGGGTGAGTTCTGGTTGTAGTGATTGTCTGCCAGCTTCATCATTTAAGGCTGCCCCCTACATGGAGCTGGTACCTCTTGGTGTTACTGAAATACTGGTTACAGCGTATAAAGAACAACTCATGCAGGCATATTGGTGCATTTAGGAAAAATCTCAAGTTATATAATCCCTCTCAATTTAATCAGTACTATATTCTATGAGTTAGTGACATGGGATATGAATGACAAACGCGTGGACGTGAATGTACTGCGAGTTGGAAATCAACAGTAAATTGAAACTTAGGACCAGAGTTATAAATCACCACCATCTTCGAAATTCACAACATGATATTTATAAAATAGTTTCCCTGACAGGTGGTTTAGGTTTAATGGAGAATTGCTCATTTAACAGACATTCTGGTCAAAATGTCGCTGCCTCGTTCGATGTCCTTACTGTTTCTTGTGTAGATTGTTTGGTGGTGCCCGTAGATCAAGACATGCTCATCCGTCACCCCAGGTGTAGCACTGTGATCTATAATAGCTCATAGATAGTTTGTTTTTATGTTTATATACTGGATATCCTCTTGCATAAATGTTTTATATTTATTGTGATCGTCTCTCATAAAACATCATTATTACTCAAACTAGTCAAAATAGTCATTCAATGAGAAAATGCTCTTTAGAACTTATAACGTATAATACAAGGGACATACCCTTTCCACATCAGTAAGAAATATCTGCTAAAAGCAGTGTCGACTATATTATAGGTTTGTGTTTGTTTAACGCCGCAACCTTACAACTGTATGGCGACGGTCTGGAAATATTCTAATCTGGACAATTTAGTAATTGGCATCATGAAAACACTCCAATTATTATGGATATCTTAGCATACCTTTGAAGATATTTTTAATTTGTAAAACTATAAATGATTTAATATTTAGGTACCCTTCTGGTAAAATATTTCAGAGTACTTATCACATCAAAACATACATTGTTGTATATTTTTTTAAAAACACACATTAAAGTATTATTTATTTCCAACACAAGAGAGACATTCCTTGAACTTGATCAACGTGTTTGTGGGGTTTGCGATGGTTTATTGGTTGTGTTGGTTACAGGGGCACATCGTGCTAGACCATCGCAGACAGAGTTTACATCTTGTCGACATCTGTAATCTGCGGGTTTACATAAACAATCTGTAACATATATCTCCACGTTTCGGCGTTGACTTCTTAATCTTCTGCATATTTTTCAGTTTTCACGCTTTTTATCTGACGAGGAGAGCCAAACAATGAATAAAAAAAAAGTATAATAATATTTCTACAATTGGTAATTGTTATCAATTTTTTTAAATCACAAGTGTACGTATTTTAAACGTTTACTGGGTGATTCAGCAAAATATATATTCAATGTGTGTTCTGTTTTGAATATGTTTATCCAGTAAACGAACACTTTTAAACAATCATCCCACCATCGTAATTTTATATGTCAGGGATAACGAATACACCTGGGTGACATGCAGTCAAATTTTAAACAATTACCGTCATTGCTACCATGAAGAGACTCAAGGAACGGTATTACGCGTAATATATTCCCATCTAATGTCAGGGATCCAAAGTACGGGTTCTATGTAGTTTCGGGGGAATCTACACCAAGACGCTGTCATCTGGATGAGAGGTAAATGTTATAATGATGGAGAAGTTTGTCGTATATTTGTGCGCCAAACTTTCGTCGGCGCCAACAGAAAGCAGTGCCGCGAGTGCTGCATCCAGACTCATTAATCACGCGTTGAAGATCTATTTGATAATCCGATTACGTCATCAGTTCCTGTGTGCGTGGGAATGTATGTACACCTGCTGCTGTCACGATGAAGCAGTGTTGTAGGCTCTGCAGCAGCGTCTGTGTGCGATAAACAGGTGCATCAGTAATATAAAGGTGCCAGTATCATAATAGTAATATATGATAATATGTTGTGGTTGTCGTGACTGCAGATACTGTATGATTACACAATGTCATTTAGATAGTGGTCAAATGTAACATATGTTATATTTAGGATTACACTTTCTAGTAAAGTACAGATTCTAGTACCCTTGTAGATACTGCGTTTTAAATGTATATGCTTACGATGTATTTAAATGTTTGTGTTACCAATTCTTTGTTAAAATGTATATGTTTACAATAATGTTAAATGTTTGTGTTACCATTTTTTTCGTTTAAATGTATGTGTTTACAATGTTTATCTTATAACTCACGGAGTAATTAAACATGGGCAGTCTTCCCAGGTAGCTGTTACCACGATACCAAGATTACAGCCAATTAATCAGCTCGTATGCTACTTAATATTATATTGTCACGTCGCAGACTCGGGTTGGAATCCCCACATGGGTACAACGTGTGAAGCTCATTTCTCATTCCATTGCTGGAATATTGCTGACTGCGGCGTAAACCCATACTCACTCACTTAATATGCTCTGCGTGTGGTCACGCTTGGTGACTTGGTCGACTGCTGTCACTAAAGTTTGAGAGCCAGGACGTTGCCCTGAATATCAATCACTTGTTTGTCGCGTCAAGACAGAAATATTTTAGAACCTGCTGACATATAGTTGGAATATTGATGTGTAT